CCGTATCAAGTGCCGACGTGGCATAGTGGTAGTGGTCTCGTTTCATAGACGTAAGGTGTGGGTTTGCTCCACGCCATCGTCGACAATTTTGCAAATTGTTTTTTCATTTCATTAAAGTCTTTCTGAAACTTTTCTGACATTTGCTTAGGAGAACGTTTTACTTCTGCTTTCATTTTCGCTTGTCACCCCTGTCCAGGAGAAGTGGTTCTGCACCTCAATTCAACGATTCTGTTTTATTTCAAACATCAAGAAACATGCAATAAAAAGATACTAGAGACAAGTTAGATGCCAGCAAGAAACTCAACATTGATGGAAAAACCTTAAAAATGCGTGAAGCACACATGTTGTTCGCAAACTGCGCATCTTATACATGCTGCTTGCGCGCGATTCATTGCTCGACGAACTCTTCATTACAGGGTGTAAGATTGAAGTACACAATATTCCTGCCGGTGCTACGTCAATGATTCAGCCATTGAACGTCTTTTTCTTCGGTTCTAGAAGAATTTTATGCAGAGGATTAGAATTAGAGCTATGTTGAACGCTGCAGACTTCAATACGATGCAAAGGGATAATATTTTTAAGGTTCTATCCCAAGTATATCGAATGCTTTGTGCACCACGTTTTTCTAATTTTCCAAAATGCTCTTGGTACAAAGCTGGTTATGTTGATGAATCCTGCCGAGTATTTGTTCAGTCTTGAGACGAAGACTGTTTTGTCACCGGCTGTAGAGAATCAGTATGTATAAGATGCGCAGTTTGCGAACAACATGTGTGCTTCACGCATTTTTAAAGTTTTTCCATCAATGTTGAGTTTCTTGCTCACATCTAACTTGTCTCTAGTATCTTTTTATTGCATGTTCTTGATGTTTAAAATTAAACAGAATCGTTGAATTGAGGTGCAGAACCATTTTCCCTGGACAGGGGTGACAAGTGAAAATGAAAGCAGAAATAAGGCGTTCTCTGAGGAAATGTCAGAAAAGGTTCAGAAAGACTTTAATGAAATGAAAAAACAATTTGCAAAATGTCGACGATGGCGTGGAGCAAACCCTCACCTTACGCCTATGAAGCGAGACCACTACCACTATGCCACGTCGGCACTTGATACGGAGGCGACGAGTTCGTATATCCGAATAATACTACTGTCAAGCAAATTTCCAGCCCCCATAACTTTTTAAGGAAAACCATTTAGCAGTTTTAATCTCCATTTTCGTGAATAGCATTCAAAACTCTATCGATTTATCTGGGTCTCCTTTCAAAGTCCCACGGTAAGTAGACTACCCTTCTCTGGCAAGTGCTTCCGTCTTGCCGCCTGCACTCCTTACAAGTTTGAACCCTCTAGGTCCACGGGAACAGGACTTATGAGTTTCCGGTCACACACACATACCCCCACTTTCACATTTAGCGTGTTATATACAGTAAAATGCTTGCTGGGCGGCTTTCAGCAACGTTGACCGCTTCGCACGATCGCAGCCCCGAACCGCGCGCAAAGACAGACACACAGAGTTACCGCTTTGTATGTGTATATAGAGGAGTGTAAACCGCTGACGAGTTTTCGATCAGCAGTTTATTATCCTATATATACAATATACAAAGCGCTAACTTTTTCCGTCTGTTTTTATGCCAGTGCCATTCCGGAAAAACAAAAAAGTCCGCGGTGAGGAAGGACGTCAATGACTGGGATTCATATTTTCTCTGCTTTTTGTCGCGCGATGGACCTTATTCGATAACGGACATGTGATGCGCGACTTAGCGTGCGTGGCCCAACTGACCTGACAGTAAGCTGAATTGAATCATGAAAACTTTAGAGGGGAGTAGTATTGGGGGAAGGGGGGGGGGGAGGTTGCGCTATTCATGCGTGAACCCATTAGAGCTCTTCGCGTCGCGCACGCAGCATCGCTTCAGTACCTTTCTGTTGAGATGGACCGAATAAGATTTGCAGTAGTCCTTGGCTTCATCATGAATTAGAGTAAATCTCTTCTCTTTACTATGGCAATGAAGCCCCTTCGAGATTAAGAATTCACTTCATAGGTCCACAATTTAATTCTCAAACTTTCAAAATAAGAATAACTTCAAATCTCCTGATCCTAGAAAACGCAACCATTCTGTAAACATAGTGCAAAACTGGCCATTTTTCTTTACTTATGTTACCTACAAGTTCTTATTTCTACCGTTATGATGGTAAGCATGATGTTATAGCGCGTATCGTCAGATGACCTCATTATATTGATGCGTGAATCGCACGACACCCATAATGGGGAGCGAGTGCTTAATGGTAGAAACTGACTGCACACTCGCTCTTCTCTCCTTGTGAACTTTGAAGCTAAGGGTCATCAAGTGTGCATTTTCTTCGGAAAACCACTTTGATCAGCGTTGCACTTTGCGCTTCATAGAAATCTTTCCAATTGTGGAAACTGGCAGTATTGAAGCAGCAGTATACCGAAAATTGGAAGACTTTAGAAAAGTTCTGTTGATGTAACTCCTAACTTTTCTCAATTTATTCACGAAATTTTCGGCAACTGTAGAATTAAGACATCCATCTAGGGAACTCTTTCTGAAGGCGTTGATGTGCCTTGAAGACAACTCGCATCTCCTAATAGACTGTTGGATCCACCGATGCCCAGTTTTGAAACCTGTCTTTAGCGATCTCTCCTTGTTGATTGTCAAAGCCATTAGATATAGTATATCTCAGTCGTGCAACGCCATCCCCAAGACAAGTTTCAGGGTTACTTCATCTCTTAGGAGATTCGCTAACTTTAGAAGAGTCGCCTGTTAACTGTCACAATTCGCACCGCAATATGGCCATTAGTCTGTAGATACAAAAAAAAGAATGTTCGATGATTTGATGACGCTGTCGTTTTCGCACACGATGACGAGGTCGTTGGGGAGGGCATCTCGCAATATAGCGGGGAAGCTATCTATCAACTTCTGTGTCGGATTCAGCAAGCGCGACAGTACTAACTCTGGACACAATAAAGATAGGCTGGAAGCCTCTCTTGCTTTAACCTCGGCATAGTTGTTTATGATTAGAATATTCTTGTGCCGTGCGAGGTTGTTAAGTGGAACAATTTGAAATCAATGGCCTAATGTTTCGTCGTTGTCGTCTGTTCTATCTAACAACTTCGCGCGGCACAAGAATATTGTAATCATAAATTGGTAGCAATCAACCCTTGGGAATGTCTAAATTCAACATTTTTAAATTATTAGTCGGTAAACAATAACAACAATAACAATAACAAAAATTAGAGACTGGAGAAACTAGTGTGCACCGTTTGGAGGCATTCAAGGCAGTGAAAATCCTTGCATTGGCTGCATGCTGTTTTGTCCCTCTTCACATTGTTTTCTGCCGCTCGACCATGTTGTACTTGGGCCTTTTTCTAGCATTCCTTGCAACGCTGGCCATCGCTTTTCAATTCATCGTGCATAAAAAGCTTTCACTACCTTGGAGTTTGGCTACCATTTTCGGTAGCAAAAAACTTTTCACCAACGAATATTTGATGTCCGTGAAATGGCTTAATCCCACGCAGCGCGCGGTCAAAAACGGCTGCGGTCGCCACCGACTTAATTTACTGTTAGGATTTCCTGTGTAGTAGTTTGAACCACTAGTTTGATTTCTTTTCAGATTACTTTGAACCAAATTCCAAATTCCATTCATTCAAAATTTAATTGCTCTGTCATTATGAAAATTGATAGGATATTTTCAGAATTGGTCTGAACAGTACTTATGAATACGACTGCAAATTCAACGCGACATTACCGAAATGTAGGACTCACTTCCCTTCCAACGCGTTTTCCAGATAACCAATAAATATTGTTACTTTGCCAAATTTTGCCGTACAAGGGCCCATATTGTTCCGTCGAGCATAAGGTGTCCGTTTGACTGCTTGTCGGCTGGATCTGGGAGGTCTTCGGAATCTTCAAATCAATAAGCATCTTTGACCGTCCATCAGAATTTCTCGTGTTTATTGAATTGAAAATATATGCGGTAAACGAGTAAAAATAAAACCGAATGAATAATGCTAATAATTAAGAAATAGATGAATGATATACAAATATACAAAATATAATATATAATGTAGTATACTAAATAATACAATAAAAAGTGCATATAGTAAATAGTAAGTGTTCATAGTTTCAGTGAGGTAGTAAGTTACCTACCGTATTTCCGGTGTTCTTACCAGTACTGAAGATAATGGTCGCAATTCCGGGTTGTTCTCGAAGCCAAGCGAGTTCATCAACCCCTCTCGCGAGATGGGTAGCTTCATCTGCAAAGATCTATCTGTTGTTGATTTGTGGCTGACATATAAAAATCAAAACCAAAACTTTCTTAACCTTTTTGTTGCCCTTTTGTCTTACGCATCATGTCTCCTTGATCACAGGTCACAATCTGGCCAAGAAACAATCTTGCGAATGTTCGTTAGGGATTCATCGGTAGTGATCGAATAGGAACTTGCTTTTCGAGCTTACAGCTTTAAGAACTTGTTTCATCAAAGTTGACATCTAACAGTATCTATGCACTACCTGTGGCTACAGCTACAGTAATTGCCGTAAGGACTCTCAAATTCTCACAAATACCGCGATATCGCGTCTTGAGTTGACAGTCTTGAGTCGTCCTGAGGTGCACCACAACAGTTTTGCAAGGAGCAAAAAGTTGTCTACGATAGTAGATAGCCTTCAACGCCGCCTAATTGAGTTCGACGAAAATTCTCCCCGAAGTTTGGAAAATGTCAAAAAAAAAATCGGCTCAGTTATTTTGCCGTAAAATGATGTCGTAATCTCAATGGGGCATGTAAGGAGGAGTGTTGAAAACAGAGACTGTTGACGCAGACATCTACCACCTCCACATTAGAAACGAACGATGGAGGCCAAAGAAAACCCATCAATCATTTTCACATTACACTGAATGGAGTCGAGTACGTGGCCCACTCTAGATCGATTTCTGAACAGTTTGTCCCTACAGAACAGTCAGCTCCTACAAGCATTAAAGCGTGCTTCCTATGTACATGTAACTACTTTTCGGATGGGACCCAAGCACATGGCGCGATCGGAAACTAAGAAATACTTTAGGGTGCCAGGTCAAAGAATCTTCAGCTCCTGGAGTACTCCACTGTACACAGACTCATGGAGAAGGCCAAAAAAGGCGCGAGCTGGCGGTACTAGGGCCAATCTGCGAGCTCTTACGGCATGTACTGTACATTTAGCAATGTAGGCTTTTGACTGCACTCAGAGGATTAGGTTCCTGTCAAGGTAAAAGTATATTATACCAAATCTTCCCTGCAGCATAGTGTCAAATAGTGTGTGCAGTCCTCGCCGAAAGTTCCCTTCGCCCACGCTTATTCAGTACCCCAAGGCTTTTCCCATCTTCCCCGTAACAATTAACACCACTTAGCCCACCCCCTCCCCCTCCCTACATACTTCCGAACTTCTTTCCTCTACAATTACTCGACTGAGCGATTCCAAAGTATATGGCGTGCGAGTTGGTGTGTTTGCCTCCATCAGGTGTTTCCCCCACTTCGTCTGTCCCCATTAGACTCCTCTATAGAAGTGATAACGCAGCACAGGTGGTAATTTCTTTAAGCACCCAGAAAAACTCCTAAAAAAGTTTCTGAAGTGTTTTTGCTCCAAAGAAGACGTTGGTTTCTCTACCAAATGGTGACTTTCTTTTCTACTGGAGAGAGTTTATTGTAAATGGGCACCCGTGGCCAGTCTACACGGGATTGTGGGCCGTGAAGTTGATGAAATAGAAGCTGTACTTAACCAGAAAGTAGTTTTGATTATATCCTGCTGGTGCGATGTAAAGCGCGATGAAGGCGAGAATTGTGAAGCAAACGATCACTTTTGACCAGAACTTGATGGTCCTTGACACATCACGCTGCTTCACTCTGATACGGCACGTATTAGCACATGCATACATCATCTGGAAACGTGACAAAGAATTCCTCGAGTGAGGAGTATTCATTAAATACAAAATGTCTTTCAAAAGGAGAGCCTCATAAGGGATAAAGTTTTTGACGTTGATCGATCCTGTTTGTAAAATACGCTCAGGTATCAATTCCCATTCGAGTCATAGCAGCGATTGAGTGTCTATTCTATCTATACTACGACTTGCGATGATCAGCCATTGAACAGCTTAATTTATTCTCTCTGACGAGTTGGGTACCAATTAAAGGCACCGTTCACGATAAAAAAGTTTACTGAATTCTTACCTTATTAATACTCAGCGGCCCCCATGGGTTGTAGAAGGGACCCTCTCACACTCCCAATCTCGACGTCCAGGGCATAGTGGCAGCCCCGTTGTTGCCGTAGTTCGCGTTCGCCTCTCGGTCGATGAGAAGAATAATAGCAGTTCAGCAGAAAATAGCAGGGAGAAAACCGATCAGGTGTTTGGGTGTGTTGTCTGCAATGGCAGGCATTGCGTCTCCTTCGTGCACTCGCCCGAACACTCCCTAACCGCCGTTCTTTCAATGTGAAACTCGTCCAGCCCCCCTTTCCAGCTCCTTTTTGACCCTTTGTATTTCTTTTTGTTCATCGTTTTTTGCGCTTTTTTCGTTGTTATCGCTTTATTCTAGAGTAGTTCTATCAATTCCCGTCAATAAGGGTACCCTAAATTTATCGTGAACGCTGCCTTTAAGCGACCCGCTAGGGATGAAAGGCCTGACTGGCCTGTACAGGTATTAGTCCAGAATTTGCTCCCTGAAACAACGAATCATATGGTATAACAAGGCGTCATCTGGTAGGCCGGAACCAGATGGAACCCATAGATCAAAAAGTTTGGTTCCCATTATTGGATACTCCCCGGCAACCTAGAGATAGCATTCTAGTGACGTGATCCGTCAACGCTAAGTTGGCAGAGGTGAATTCTAGCTCTTACCTAGGCATCGGAGTTTCCATATGTTCTTCCAAGGGTTACCTTACTTGAAAGAAAAACTATACCACTTTCTCGGCTAAGAAATGTTGCTAAGCACCCTTACAGGCTCAAAAGTCAGCTAACCCTCCTTCTCTGCGCTTAAAGGCTCGATGTCGCAAAGAGCAGTGCTTCCTCTCGACTACATTTTCATTGGCATAACGTTCGATCTTAAGCTGAACTCAATCCAAATTTATTCCCTTCGGGCACAGTGTCTTGATCCATTACAAAGGCGGGGGAAGGCGATGGCACGGACAACAGAGAGCTTTTAGGCTGCAGGTAAGTTATCACCAATTAGCCCCCCCCCCATACGCCCTCCGCCTACCTATTCCGCCTAAACTCAAAGGATAAATACGATTTGAACTTCATACATTGCAAGTCCGGAAGTGGGCTCTGAAGATGTAATAGGATCGGTCCAATACCTTACCTTACAATTAGATGGGGCAGTACATAAGAGAGTTAGTTGAGTTTGTTGCCTCTGTGAATCACAACAAAGGATCTCGCTTTCAACTCAACGACCAGCCTCATTGGCCCCTTCTCTGACCATAATATGACAATCGACATAGTTATATTCCCAATCGACAAGTTAAGCAGATCAACAACAGAGCTCAGGAAGCAGGAGGGTAAGAGGAAAGAAATGAAATCTGTATCTTGCACTCACCGCAAGCCATCAGGCAAGAAAACGAAATGATTACTGTCTTAGGAGACTAGTGAAGAATGAAATGTCTCATCCCATGAATCTGTCATAGCGCGAGAAGCCATGTCTGAGCAAGTTCTTATCAGGACACGTCAGGAGCCCCACGTATTCTCCTGACTTTTTACTAGAAAGGCTTTCTAGATGGTTCCAGAGAACTATCCAGAAGCCGCATATGCGTCGTCTCCTCTGGTCATACTTGCCGCTTCGAACTGATGATGCGGTCGTTAGCACTTGGTGCCGCTGATTTTGATTTCAAACGGTAAACAGAGAAAAGAGACGAGAAGAAAGTGTGTTCGATTGCAAGAGACGAAGAGAGGTAGAAGAAGACGGCGTCTGCGCGCCCGACCACGACGGAAAAGTTTGGCTCGTCGTCTCCGTTTTTCACTATCACCGAGCATGATTGCGGCTTAAAGAACAGCAGTCCTGGATAGATCCTCTCCAAATTATTCGACCATGAGAAATGATAATTCAATACCGACGATTAAGTTTTTTTTTAAATTCTGAGTGCATTCATTTCAAAGCTACACATGTTTCATGAACAGTCTTTCATAAACAACTGGAAGATCGGAAGACATCATTTAACTTAAATTCAGTGGATATGTACATTGACACATGCCGTTTGCCGAGTAAATTCATGGATTTCCCTTCCCGTTTCGTTTCCAGACGATCTCCATTCGAGCCAACAATACAACCCTAATAATCCGTAAATGGGGTTCTTCGGAAGGATCTTCTCCACACAAAACGCCTCCGTTTTCACGGTCTCAAAGTCTGTTATTGAATGTCCTTCACTAAGACTTTGTTCGTTTATTCAAGTGTATTTGAAGTCATATGCAAAAAGGTTTCGACCACGGCAAGATTCGAACCTGCAATCTTCTTCTCCGTGGGCAGACGCGTTATCCGTTGCGCCACGCTGCCACAGGACCGGTGGTCCAATTGCACCATTATCATAAGGTCTCATTCCGATAATGTTACAATTGCACAAAGCTGTGGTCCCATGAAGTTTGAGCCTTTTTTGCTCAGCTTACTTGTTTTAGGGGATTGAATTTGCCTGGTGACAAAGGTAGTGAACTGACTGAATCAATGTTGGCAAGCTGTCATCTAAAATGCCGAAGTCTTAAACGCTTTTCGTGCGTATAAATGCTGGGAAATGATGGTTCGATCCACAACCCGTCCAGCTTTGAATTTGACACGGTCTGTTCCTTCAAATAGTGGTCCTGGCCCTATCACCCTTCAATCTAGCACTCTCAATTAGGCAGTGCGTAACTCGTTCAGATTACATTCGGTTGTATGACAACGATAACATTCACGGTAGGTACAAAAGATATGTATACATTGTTGATGATTTCTTACAATTGAACTACAATTTATCAAATTGTTTTAGTTGGCCAATGAATAGAACACAAACACACATGGAAACATCAAAACGTTTCGACTACAGTCCTCTTAGTGCTGCGATAGGAAACAGACATATTCACAACATTTTGCCTCTTCTTACATCGGCAAAAGTTGAAAACCTCCTGCCGAAGATCAGAGGAGAGTAACAGCAAAGAAAATGGCGGTATACTCATCGTGAGGTAGTTTATCCAGAAGTACTGAAAAATCCTTCAGTTCATCTACACAAGACTTTTTCGCTTTTTTATTATTGGCATATTAAGTAATGGCAT